ACTGAAACACAAAGGAGCTATGTGAATCATTCAAGGCTACACAGTCGGGGCAAAGCCAGGATAAGAATTCAGGAGTCTCAATTCCCCACGAGCAAGAAGCTTGAACTGCAAAATTTTGATCCCAATCTGAATTCTGACCCCTCCCACCCCCACTGCCTTAGTTCCAGATGATTGGATCTGGTGGGAGTCGCCCGGGATCTGTTCTAACCACAGTAGAGACTCCTCTCCTATACATTGTCTTCTCTATCTTACCTGCACAGTGGTGAGGGGCAGTGGCTCTGGCATAAACTTACCCATTGTCAGTGGAGAATGCACTAGAGGTATCACAAGTTAATATTCGGTGTCTACTGTTGTCAGCTGAGGTTTTGTCTTCATTTCTGCATTCCAATTCCATGCTGTGGGTTCAAGACTCACCCAGGGCTTGACTTCAGCCAACTCACCCAGGGTTTGGCCTCAGCTTTATATCCATGTGCATTACAGGGGTTATTAAAAGTACTGGACAGCTAGGGGGGACCTCTTTCGGTTGAGACATTAAGCCACCAGCCCTTATGCCCATCTCTGGAGGCCACAGAGTTAAAAGTTAAAAACTCCACGGTACCTTTTGAAATCTGCAGAGGAGAATACTGACAGCTCTGCGAGACATCCTCTTCTGTAACAATGGTAGGTCCGTAGCTGTGTGGGAGCTACTGCTGAACACACGATGGCAGCTGTTTGGTCTACAAAGCCATCCTCACTGAAGTCAGTGGGTTGGCATGGTGCCAGTTTGCACTAGTAATGGAGTTGGGTCTTGCTAGCTGCCTCACTGTTTTGTAAGGCACTTTACAATATCTTGAAATGATCATGTAAATGTCTGTGTAAAACCAAATGATCTTTTATTCTACTACAATTGCAGTAACTCTGCCACCTTCTGGCACCCCCTCAGTACATGTGCAAGCAATTTTATACTAAGGCATAAGATGAATATATGGAGAAATCACTCTCTGTTCAGTATAGATGACAGAGGCGAGAAGTGGGAAGAATAAATCAGTCTTTCCCTGGGAAAGGAGACCCTTCACAGGATTTCTCTTCTTCCAACCCAACACTCGCGGAATAAGATTCCAGTAAATGGTGCTGCAGAAATATTTGTTTCCGGGTGTCATTTTATCAAGCAGGCAGCTAGGACTGCTCCAGATCCTATATATAGACCCTTCATTTTAGTGCATATTTTGGAGACTTTTATTGCTACAGTCTGGATCAGTCCCAGACAGGCTGTCCCCAAGGAGTCCAGTTTTGAATCAGAACCTCAGCGATCAGAAACCATTTTAAGGGTCTCTCAGCTGTCGCTTCTGTGGACTCTGAACTTCATGTGGAGTGGTAATCTAGCTAGTTTAGGGTTTTGGGGGGGCATGATGATTATTAATAATAATAATTAATCATACCACTACCACCAGACTAAGATAAACAATCCGGTGGGCTTTGCATTTGTCGAGCTACATTACATCTAGGACTGAACTAAGCTCACACTGATACAAACTGGCACACCCTTTAGACAATAACTGCTGGCAATGGCCCAGTGCATGCTGTAGACAGACCATTTGGCAGACACAAGCAGAAGCCAACAGGTAACATTATATGTCTTGCACTAACAGAAAGCTTTCAAAGGTAGATTTGCAATATTTTGTATTTGCCTGATGACTGGAAATCTCTCTCTCTCTCGTTCTCGCTTTTATCTAATCTAATTATTTTGTTGGTGATCCTGTTCTACCTTTTTCTTTCTCTCTTTTTTCCTCCGACTTCATTTCTTTCTTGGTTCCCAGATTCTGATCCATCCTTTTAATTTTCTGTGTCACTATTCTGCCTGTCTTTGTTTGCTTTGTATATGAGTGTGTCCTCCCCTGTTTCTCTGTGAGCTCTAATTCTTCCCCCTATACATTTACCTGCCAGATGAGGCACTTCTTAAGCAGTCCTCAGAGAAGAAATGTGCTGTCTTTCTCCTTTCATCCCTCGAATTCTCCCAACAGTGATATTCCTCCCCATCCCTTTCACCCCTCCCACCTCTTAAAAAAACGCAGCCAGCTCCTGCTGTGTGTCCTCAAATCCATTCCCTCCAGCTTTGCCGGTTTGAAAGCCGGTACCCTGGAAGGGGCCTCCCAGCTTTTGTTGGCAACTCAGCTCCAGTCTGATCGACACGGATAGTGCTTTGGGGTGAAGGAGGGGGGCGGAGGAAATCCCTTCTCGTTGAGATTTCAAAACAGAACGTGCCCACCTTGAGAGTCGCGCGCTTGTGTGAGGGCGGGACCCGGGTTTTTCATAAACAAATCAAAGACTTCTGAAGTTTTTTGTGTCCTCCCCCCCCACACACACTTTAAATGGGTTTCCTTTGGCACATACTGCGTCTTTTCCTCTGGCTCGGCGTGTGGTTTCTATGCACATCTCGCTCCTGTGTGTCTCTTTCGATGCTATTCCCCGCACCCACCCGCGGCTTGTTATGGAATTAAATAATTAATTGATTGATATGGATTTATTTTGTGGTATCCCCCCCCTCGAATCCAGCCCACCTTTCCGCACATGTCAAACAGATGGGATCACTGGGAGAGGTCTGGTGCTCGGATCGGTGCGGAGGGAACGGAGCACCCGGCTCTCTCGGCTTTGTAAATTTCACACTTTGGAACTGACCTGAGCACTCCCCCGCTCGACAAGGGATTTTCTCTCCCCCCATAGGTGAGGGGTGGGATGGAAAGGAGGAGCAGAGGGAAAGAGGGCGGGCAGATCTGTGATGTCACAGCAAAAGTTACAAGAGGAGGAAAACACAGGCATGGTTCAACTTTAAAAATAATTATTAATACAACTACTACTACTAAAAAACCTTTGGACTGCCAAGAACGGGCGAGTGGTGAGCTATGGAATGGGGGGAGGAGGGGGGCTAAGCTGGAGTCCTGTGCAGATGCTTGTTGAAACCTTATGAATGGATGTTGAACTGCAATGACCCAGCTTGTGCTCCCCAATAACAGGCAAGGACAGTGGAGGTGATGCAAGCTCACTTCACATTTTAAACGGGGGACAAGCCAGCATGTTATTCTTGCTCGTGCAAGGAGTGCTATGAAACCTTCCTTCTGGGAAGGGGGAGGAGCCCGCGATTCTTCCTTGCACCTGGTTCTCTCGCTCCGCTTGTTGTCTCTGCCCTTCTCCCACCCATCCACTTTCCCCAGCCAGCACCCAGTTCTCATGGGTTGCATTTTCCGCTTCCGCGTCCCACCTTTCGCCAGCAGCGCCCGTTTCCACTACTAAGGCTCAGCAAGGGGGGAGGGGGGAGGGGAAGCAGCCCGGAAGGACCAGAGAGCCCGGAGAGTGGGACCAGAGATGGGAGCACTCACAGACCACCAGCCAAGAAGACCTAGAAGACTATCCTCAGCCCCGCTCGCGTACGGATTGCACAATGGTGCCTGCTAAGCTCTGGGACGCGCGTTTTAAGCCTCTCCTGGAGACACCCATTCCACGAAACGAGGTGTTTTATTTCGGGGTGGGCGGACTGGAGATGGGGGGTGGGGTTCGTGTCTAGCAAAGGTAAAGAAACCCCCCAGGCTAAGAAAGGGACATGCTGTCAAAAAAGCTCTCTGTGTGCGACTTCAGCAGAGAAAAGGAGAAGAAGGGGATTTACATTGGCAGCAAAGGGAAGTCACGCGGGTTTGCTACCTGTAGCTCTGGGCAGAAGTAGCGAAGGTGTGGGTGCCTCTGTGCAACAGGGATGGAGTGTGAGAAATCGCCGGTATCTCAGAATAACCACATGGCAAAACAGGGAGAAAGACTCTTTGCCCGTTTACCGCTGTCCCGTGTGAAACCTCCTGGTCTGATCCCTGTTCATTTCATGTGCTGTCCTCTGCATTTCTGTAGCTGATGCTTTAGCAGTGTCTCAGAGGCACTTCCAGTAAGAGAGAGAGATTCATGCAACCTCAGAACGGTGCTTCCCACAGAATAAGTACGGCTGGGCTCTTAGCGATACATTATTAATAATAATTAATTATTATGATAATTGTACTCACCCTTCCCCCCGCAATTACCCATCCCCAGTAGCATACAGACCACTTTGGCTTTCAAGAGCAAGCGTGAAGAAAACCAGTCGCAAAAAGGCATTGCTTAAATGGAACTGCAAAGTGAGATAGACAGGGGGAGGTGCTGCAAGTGTGTTAATTTTGTATCTCTGAGCAAGAGTTTGGCCGGATCACTCTAGAATGGGGCGGGGGGGGGAAGAGATTATTGGTGGATTCTTATTGATTATCTGGACTGAACAAGAGTGAAAACAAGAGGTGCAGCATCCACCAGTGCCCATGTGAGGAGGTGATGATTTCCAGAAGGGAGGAGGGGACAAGGAGGAGGGAAGGAGGTGGAGTGATGCGCATCGGACATCAATCATCATCATCATTTTAAAATAAAGCAAACAAACAGGGTGAGGGGGAGAGCCAGACTTTCTAGATAAGTGCATCTGATGCGCTGCCCTCGTGTCTTTTCCTTCGCAGGAGCCTACAAGACCCCAAGAAGGGCGCAGATCTCTCAGGGACCGCAGAGCCAGACAGTGACTGGGCATCACCTGAAAAGAACGTGGACCGTCTACAGGAAGGGAAGAGCCCGCAAAAGCCAACCCGAGGAAGGAGCTGCAAACAGAGGACAAGCCCCGTTGATGGAAGTTAAGCACTAGCTTGCATTGCAGGCTTCCAACTCCTCTGTGGAGAGGGGGAGGCTATTGATCGTGATTGTAGGTGCCCCTCGGTCACCCTGAGGGTGATCCCAAGACCCACCCGAGGGGAGCGGGAAGAGAGAACAAGGAACGCCTTGCAAAGGGAAGGCGAGGGGAAAGGAGCAGAGACAGGCTGTGCCCGGAAAGATGCTGAAGGGAAGTTTGTGAAGTGAACCTGAGAAGGGATGCGCAAGCCGGAGAGCCATGTGGGAACATGACCAGACGCTCATTTGCTAGCAGCAGCTGTCCAACACACCAAACCTGAGCGGTGTGTCCTGAGCAGGCAGTGGAAAGGAGAGACCCAGGGAAAGGCAGAGAGCAGAGCAGGGACTCCAGGAGATCAGTGGGCAAGGGCAGAGAGCCACCTGGGCTTGGATCCCAACGGGGAGAGACGTTTCCCTGACCCCGCTGGGTGAAGCGCACTGCGCAGGAGATCAGGCGGCGCCACGTGTATTAATTAAAAGCCCGGGTATTTCTCTGCTTGCCCCGTCCACCTGCCCAGTTGGCTCAAGGTCCTGGGTGCGCAGGAGCATGCTGCTGGCAACACCCCTGCTCCTAGCGACCTGGGTGCTCAGCGCTGTTGACTCTGACCCAGCCTGGAGCCACCCCCGATCGCTGGCGCTGAAGAGGGACCAGAACCAGGGCTCCCTGGAGGGGGAACCATGCTGGCTAGGGACCAAGCTCCTGCGAGCCAGGGCCATCCCGCAGCACCACCCCCGTGCGCTCTACCCGGGCAGAGGCGCGCAAAGCCCGGGCGCGCAGCTCCGCGGAGAGGGGGCGCGCAGCGTAGGCGCCCCAGAGTCTCTCAGCAGCACCGGGTCCACGGGCCAAGACGCCGCGGCGTGGAGTCCCGGGGAAGGCCCGGGCCTGGAGCGGCTCCGGTCCCGCAGGAGCGCGGAGCCCAGCAGCGTGGAGGACACGTGGGAAGAGCCCGATGACTTGCACCAGCGCGCACGCCCCAGGGCTAGGCCCCGCCAGCTCTCCCGGCGGCGCAGCGGCTCGGGCTGGGGAGGGCCAAGCTCTCCCCCTCCAGGCGGCCTCTCTGCCCTCTACTTCTCCGGGAGCCGGGAACAGCTGCTGGTGCGGCCCGAGGTCCTGCCCGAGGTCCCCAGGGGCGAGTTCACCATCGAGGTCTGGGTGAAGCCGGAGGGAGGACAAAGCAACCCGGCCATCATAGCAGGTGAGGTGACCCTGTACCAGCGCAGCGCCCTGCTGGGGGAGTGGGCTGTGTGCCAGCCTGCGGCCGATGGCGGTCAAACCCCACAGAGTGCGCGAGGGAGAGCTGCCTGCTCAGCCTGCGCTCCCATATACCAATGGGGAAAGGTCTCTCCTGGAGCAGTGCTGCATGGGAGGCAAAGTGCCAGCCCCAGGCAGAGATGTGTAAAGCCAGGGATGGGCTAGAACTAGGCTCCCTTGGATCTGAAACCCCAGCACCGCAGGGAGAAGAGTGGGCCAGATGAATAGACTCCAATTTAGGTCCAGCTGTAGAGTTGGGCCCAGAGTGGCATGGTTAATGAATCCATCTCTTCAAACCGGGTACCCCTGGGCTGCCCCTTGGTAACCTCTCCCCCAGCCGCGAACTGGGCTTGTGCATCCAGAGCATGCAAGTGCTGGGTGGATTAAGATGTAGCAGGTGAAGAGGCATCCAACTGTGTGAGCCAAGCCATGCCGGTCATAAAACACAATCCTGACTGTCTGATCCAGAGCCAGCAGAACTTTCCAGCAGAATCCCTCAAAGCTCCTACCACCTGATGCTAAAGGTGCAGAGTTTAGACTTAGTTCAAATTGGCACCTCTGGACCTGATTCCCCATTGCCCTGCAATTTGTGCAAAGCGGGTTTAGCTCACCTACCATTCTGATTCGGCAGCGCTTTACACCCATTTTGCACCAGTGTAAATGGCTACACAGGGTGCAGGGTTATGGGGAGGTGGCCCCAACCTTTTTCAGACTCCAAGATTTAGCTCCAGACAGCAACTCTGTGTGGTCTGGGAGTTTCCCTGGAGGGAGACCCCTGGGGAAATACATATCTGAGAATTGCTTAACCTGCTGCTGGCACCAGTACTGAATAGAAAACAGCATCTGGGACTGATCAGTGGAGGTATGTTCTTATGGGATAAACACCTGGCAGCTACTAGCTGGATGGTGTGATACCTTGAAATGGGAAACAAGGTTATTAATCTTTCCCATCAAGGAGTCATTCGGAACATGTGGACCTGACATGCCCCTCAGGTATCTGAAGTCTGTCCCTAATCTCAAATGATTGGTCAACCCAAAAGGTTTGGTGTTCAGATTCAGTTCCAATAAGTGCCTAAAAGGTTGGATGCATCTCTAAACCTTGCAGGAACTATGCAGACCTCTTGGGTCTGCAACATTGGTTGAGAAATCTCAAGTCCCTCAGGAGATTTGGTGACTTCTCACTTCCAGTCAGTCTAGAAACACTGTGAGGCAAACCTTCCTCCTGGCATTCTGGAAATTCCAGACCTGAATGGGGGCTGAAAAGAGGAGGGGCACAGGGGAAATGGAAGGATAATGTTTGGGAAAATTATTCAAACTGGGTGGTTGTGTGTGGTGGTTTTTGTTTGTTTGTTTTTTTGAGCCTCTAAGCAGTTTTGGGTGAAGGTTGGGATCAATTCCTCTTGTAGCCAAACTGGTCCACTTGTCCCTATTAAGTTCAGACCAAGTTGACCTCTCTCCCATACTCATCTGGTCTTATAACTATCGTCATTACCGAAAAAATTACTGCCATTTAGGAACATCTGAAGAATAATATGTACGTGCAGAAAATGAACCTCACCTAATTTCCACCTCTCTGTGCTGCTGTGTTCTGTCTGAGCTGTGGCAGGTAACAGCTTGACGGTGACACCTTGGGTTAATTGAACCCAGTCACTGGCCATTGCAGAGAGATCCCCCGAGTGAAATATTCATATGCTATCATTAGAGATGTATCTGAGACAACCTCTCCGTAGCCCCAAATACCACTCGGCTTTGGGGAAATTCAGACCGAAGTCTAGACCAGATTCAAACTATTAACTAGTTTCTATGTTTCCTTTCATCAGCTGGTTCTGGGCTAGGCGAAGCAAGGACAAGTGAAAAGATTCTTTGGGGGCATATCTTGAGCTCATAGGGTTCCTTTTAAAATCCCCACTGCATCCCGCTGCTATTCTGCAGGCTTGCGCGGGGGTGGGGGTTCCCATTCTTCCCAGTTGAGTTAGCCACTGCTGTTCTCCCACATTCCCAGCCTTACTTGGCAGGGCTCCCGTGTTTAGTTCCCTTCAGCAGAACATAGCAGTGAAGTTCCTCCTGGTTTTTGTCCAAGGAACCCCCGGGGAGATCTGGCTGCAGGGAATACATGCCTGCTGGCCACAGGGTGGCACTATTGCCATGCACAAAGGTAGCCAGACCAGTCTGGTTAGGACCACAGGAATCGTAAGGACAGGGCGAGCTCCCCAGCCTGCACCTGTTTAGAAATATATCTTCTCTCCGGGCCTTGCTCGCTGGCTAGAGAGAGGTGTTTTGGGAGGAAAGAGAGGAGAAGAGCTTTGCAGCGGGAGCATGGCTGATAAACTTTTAAGGAGTCTTTTTTCCACCAGCCATTAGTGAATTTAGTGCTGAGGAAAGATGCTGATCCACCCGCCCTGGAGACGACAAGGCCTTTATTTTGCAACAGAGCAGGTACAGCACAAGTGACAGCAGCTAGGCCAGGCTTCCCTCACCTCACCCCAGCACCCTGTCTCTGTCCTGCTCTTGAGTGAGCCCTTCTAGCAGGGTAAGGGAGTTCAGTCTCCATGGCGCGATGTATTCTGGGCCTCTCTGCTGAGGCTGCATTTGTACTATAGACACTTGTCCACTGTGAACTAGGCCACCAAATCTGTTCTTAGAGTCCACGAAACAGCTGTGAGATGGTGCTGGGCTTGGCTCAGGTGGATCAGGAGATCAGAACTTGGAATGAAAACATGAGAGCTGGCTCTGTATGGCAGATTGGTGAGGAGAGGCTCACAGACCTGCTTAGAGAAGGAGCCACCCTTTGAGGTCAGGGGGGTGCTGTGGGTGGGGTTTAATATTAGATAGGCCGGTCAAGATTTGTGTCTCGCTTGGTATACGCCAAAGGTGGGAACGGCGGCAAAAGAGTTTACAGGTTGAGGGCGTTCAGTTATGGGTGTGTAGAAGACTTTTCTGCTTCTTCTCTTCCTGTTTGATCTTGTGTGTGTTCATCCCCTCCCTGCAGCCCACTGTGAGCGTTTATGGATGGTCTCCCTCATCTGCCCTAACGCTCTTCTGTAACCCCATCTTAGCTCAGAAGGCTTCCCTCCTCCAACGGAAACTCCACTTAGCCTCAAGGGAAAGTAGCTGGAATGTCTTTTTTTTCACTAGGCTGGCAAGCGCTTGCCATAGCAGCAGGAGCTCCCTGGGACACCAAAGCGGCGGCTGCGTCTTTGCTGCGGTAGCAGCCGCAGGTGCTGGGTGAGAGGCGAGGAGGAGAAAAGAGACGAGCAGCACAAAAGGAAACAGAAACATGGTGTTAATTGTGCTGTCCGCTGGCCCTCTGAGGGGTTCCATGCCCTCCCCACTCTGTTCGCAGATACACCAGCCGGGCAGCTGTTTGGCTCTGGCTCTCTGGCCTGCAGCTGTTGGGTTTAGCCTGCCCGGCTAGCCAGATTTTCAAGAGGCTGGGAGATAGAGAGGGAGAACTGTCCATGACGACTGGCACCGACGTTAGTCACTAGCTCCAGGGTTCTAGGGCTTGAGTCAGCCGAACACTACTCTCCCTTTCCACCCCAGCTCCGAGCCACTGCCTGATTGGCTCCCTCTGTCCACAGCTGGGAGCTCTGACTGCATGTGGGAGGAGCAGTTTCCTGGGCACAGGTGGCACGGCCTGTGCTTTCATGCATGTTGAGCTTACGCCAGTTCTTGGTCTCTTCAGTGTTTCCTCCCCACCCCCATCAGTGCAGGAGCCTGAGGATGGGACTGTCATAGTGTCCCAGGGTGCCTGTGGTGTTGTCAGGGGTTCTCCCTACCCGAAGATGTTATAGGCGGTAGTGGAGGAAGATAACAGAACTGGATCCCTCACATTGTCTTTGTTACCTGCTAAGTGAGGTCACCCGGGCTTAGTCATCCTAGGCCTGAGCCTCCCTGTAGCTTGTCTTTCTGGCATCTCCACACCCTCAGAACTCTCCCCTCTCAGCTGATTCTGCTGCACCAGGGATTGTTCCTTTGTCAGCGTGTCCTGGGCTTTGGCTTCCCTGTGATTCTCCCCATGCATCCCGCCAGCATGGCCCACCTGGGCTGAGTCATTACTCCATTGCTACCCCTCTCGCTTTGCTACCTGTCTGTGTTAGGGAGTAGCAGGCTGTGCCTCTTCATGGCCCAGGGGATTGGTTTCCCATGACCTGTGCGTTTTCTCAACTCCTCCCCTTCTCCTGCAGAAGGCATCACAGTGCGGTGGACAGGGCACCACTGTGTGTCTTAAGGAACATCATTTGCCCTTTATGTGCCTCAGTTTCCCCATCTGTAAAAGGGGACTAATAAGGCTCAGCTCCCTTATAAAGCATGCGGAGATCCAGAGATGAATGGCTATTATTTGTATTATTACTTGATTTCCTTTTCCTTTTCTTTTTCTTTTCTCTCACCCCTCAGTCTCACCACTCCTTTGGCTTCTATCCACATTCTCCTTCACCCACCTCTTCCACCTCACCCTCATTCTGCTTCCATGACACACTTCAAGACTCTTCTGTGGCCCCCTTCAAACTTCTCTCCCTCTTTCCACCTTCTAATCCCCCCCTCTGCCCACTCTGTTCCACCTTGCGGCTCCCTGCTAAAGTTGCTCTACTCCCCTATGTCTTTGTTCCATGCTGACACCACTCACTCATGGCTGGGGTGGGGAGGGAGCACTTTCTGGACCCCTGAGAGGGGCTTGCCCAAATCAGTGCTCACTGCCAGCAAAGATGTGTGGAAGGTCCACCCACTATCACTTGCTGTTCTGATCTGGTTTCTTTCATGAGGTGTCACTCAATATCCTGCGTATTGACTCTTCACTGTCCTGTCCTCATGAACACTTCTCCCAACCACCCTTCCTCTGCTCAGATATTTGCTACATTCTAACTTTTGCAGCTGGAAAAGATTCCACCATTGCATTTGAATTCTGGTCGCTCATCTTCCCTGATCCACCTGAAACCCAGCGTGCCTGCCAGCTCTCCCTGCCTTACCCAGCCCTCGGTGCTCCCTAACTAACATCCCATCTACATCCACCTTTCATTAGCAAGTGCTATTCTCTGCCCTTCGAGGCATTCAGGCTTTTCTCCAATCCAGAGTACCTTTCTCTAAGAGTTGAAGATGCCTTGTTCCTTGCATCTGAGCATGGATCCTGCTCTCTCCCCATTGCTGCTCTTGAGGCTATTGATTATTCTCTCCCTCTTTTGCAGCATCCCCAGCACTCTGCTCTCTTGGCTGGGCTCTATTTTCCTGCCTTCCCAGGGCGTTACTACTTCACCTCATCCCTTCCATTGTGGAATGGCCCAATACACATGCCTTGTCCTTGTTCCTGTCTCCTCTGGGACACATGTCTAGCATTAGCCCGGGTTATCAGTTATGTGAATAGCAGCTTCTGTTCCCCTTTTCTCCCCTCTCTTCTTGTCTTAGTTACATCACAACAGGCAGCTGCTGTGGATTATTTTCTAAGCTGTAATTCTCCATGTCATCGCCTCCAAAACTTGGGTCAGAATTCCTCTTTAACTTGGCCCTGCCTTTGCTGAAATCTTTGAAGGTCAGGTACAAGGGCAGAGCTGCTGGCCTGGATTATCAAGAGGTATTAGAGGTCGGGATTGAAGTGCAGTGGTGCCGTGCCTGGTCTTAGCATGGCAGCGGGTGACCTGTACATGCAAGGAACATCCATGCTGATATCCTATATGAGAGGTATTAGCAGCCTTTGGCATAGCTGACCACAAGGCTGGATTGTTTATGAGATCTGGCAGGAATTAGTGGAGTCATCTTAACCTGGTTCTGCTTGTTTTCCTTGGACATATTACAAAGGGTCAGGATGAGTGGCTACTCCTCCTCCTCCACATCTTTTTGCACAGGCCTCTCTGAAATAGAGAAGACCACAGAACGCCCAGCTACGACTTCCCCAGGGAACATAAGCAAGAGGAAAACCATGACGGCTGTGGAGGGATAGAAAGTCTGAGCTTTCCAGATCACTGTTGCTCCTTCGTTTGTGTACATAATGTCTAGATACCATGGTGATGGCCAGGTTGGACATGCAATAGGCAGAAAGACAGGACTGGAATGGCAGAGGGTGCTGTGAACTTGAGACACATTGGTCTGTGTGTATAGAGGAGCTTGTACCATTTTGGTTGTAAGTAAGTCTCAGGCCAGGTCTACAAACCAGTTTAGTTGAGCCAATGCACCCTTGCATGTGGACCCTCTTAAATCAGTTTAAACCTGGCTTGTATTGATTTGGCCTGCACTTGCAAATTACAGGTAATTGACAGGCGAAAGGGAAATTGATTCAAGCCAGATTTAAGGCAATATAAGGGTGTCAGCACAGGTTTATGCCAGTTTAACTAAGGGCTTGTCTACACACAAACCACTACAGCGGCACCACTGCAGCTGTGTCACTGTAGCGCTTCAGTGAAGATGCTACCTCCCGTTGGTGTAGGTAATCCACCCCCCTGAGAGGCCACAGCTAGGCTGATGGGAGAATTCTCCTGTTGACCTAGCGCTGTCTACACCTGGGGTTAGGTTGGTTTAACTGAGTTGCTCAGGGAGTAATACTGACCTAGTTTCCTAGTATAGACCAGGCCTTGATCTGTTTCTAAACTGATTTAAATTAATCCAGGGCAACGTCTGTGTGTAGACAAGACCTTAGCAAAAAGGGAGCCATTCTGTAGTACAGGAGCAGAAAGAGATGCATTGAGGCAGGAGACTGAGAAGAGGGGGCTCTGAAAGTGCCCCAGGTGTAGTCAGAGGGCAGACTCAGGAGCAGTATTGGAGCGCAGGACATCTTGGAGTTGTGAGCAAGAGGAAAGGGTATGCGTGTGAGAGGCATGTGTATAACGCACTGCAGGTACACTTAGCAGTGTCTGACATCTCTGCGTGGGAGCCACCACATCTGGCAATGATGTGTCTCAGTGGTGAACGGGAGGGCAAGGGGTTCTGAGAGGCAGAGAGAGGAGTGGTGTTGAAGAGTTATCATGAACTCTCCCTTCAAGGCGGGATCCCCAGACAGGGGTTGGAGGGCTCAGTTGCTTTTCTGTTTGCTGGTTTTTCTAGATGGTTTGAATTCCATTTTGCTGCTGTGAGCTGTTGGGCTTAGGTGAGGGCCAAGATTTTAAAAAGGGAGCCATGATTCTGGGTGCCTCAGATTTCGTGCGCCCAATTAGAGACCCTTGAAAAGGGGTCTGGGGCAGAGCATCCACTCTCTTGAAAGATATTTCAAACTGGCCACCCAAATGTTGATGCCCTCCAAGACCCCAGTCACTTTGGAAAATCTCGGTCAAACTTGTCTACATGAGAAAGTGGTGCTGGCTTAATTTGAAGATGTGATTTAAAAAAAAAAGATTTAGTTAAATTGGTGCAAAAGGGCTGTGTGGACACACTGATGTCAGCATAAACCAGGCTAATTACAGTTTAGCTCAAGTCAGTTAACACTGTCATACTTCAGTGATGGACAGCAGTATAAAACCCTAAATTAGACAGACTAGGAATTGGTTTAAGCCAAACTGACTTTGGCTTGCTTTATACAGAACTGAATGTGTCCACACAGGGCTTTGTACCACTTCGGCTAAATCTCTTTAAACACTGATTGATGGCCCTGTCTGCAGGAGAAAGTTGCATCAGTTTAACTTAAGCTGGTTTTGAAACACAAAGGGTAATGTTTTCAAAATGCCAAAGAGCCAGCTATTTGAAGGTATTTAGGCTCCTAGCTGGATTTTTCCAGGCATTTATTGATTTCAGTGACAGTTAGGAGCCTACTGGCTTTTAAAAATGTCATTAGGCACGTACATACCTTTTAAAGATCTGGTCCTGAGTGACTTAGGGTTAGGTTGGTTTAAGGCCCATTTCCAGAAGTGACATACATCCTTAGGAGGCTGTTTCAATGACAGCCAATGGGATTTAGCTGCCTCGGTCACTTAGGCACTTTTGAAAATTGCCCCCTCCCCCAAATGCATGTAAGGGTAGGTGTAAAGAGACCTGAGGCCAAACCCACCACTAGTGCAAACCCACTGAAAATTAATTATACCTGAGAAAAATATAGGAGACTTGGAGACTCACCTGCCCTTCCCGGCTAGCTGTCCTCTAGCTGGGCTGAGGTGCATTGCTGCGGCATACAGGTGGCTTGCATCACACCTGTCTGTGCTGTACCAGGTCTGGGGAGGGGGAATGAGTCCTTCCTTTCCCTCTCTGACCCTCGCCCACCCATGCTGAGTGCATGACTGAGAAGAAAACTAGAGCGTGAAGCAAAGCTGTAAATCTGTCTTGAAGCTGTTAGGGAAACAATTCCTGGAGGAGTCTATTTTGCTTGGGGTTGCCGTGTTCTAATTCTTAAAAGCTTTGGCCTGCAGATAAAAAGCTTAGCATCTAATCCCATCCCAGAGGAACACTGTTCGGAGAGCTGCTCAAAAACACCTCGCTTGCTTCAGACTCGCGCTCTCGCCTCTCATACTTTCTCCTTCCCTCCCTTCTCCCCCTTCCCTCTCTTTCTCCCTTTGCTTACTCTCTGTCCTGTTCTCCCATCAGTCTCTCCCCTCCCCTAGCTGTCCCTCCACCTGCTAATTGCTTCTGCAGACAGCAGAGCACCCGGCAGAGCACCCGGCGGCCTGTTCTCTTGACTCAGATCAGGTTAATTTATGCTTGTGTTTTCAATCTGGCCAAGATTCCCCTTCCCTGCCCCTTCCCCCAACAGAAAAACAGATGACATGTGTTTTGAGTTATTGCTTCTGGTGTTGCTCTCCTGACTGCGCCGCTGCTTTAGATACCTCCTCCCTCCCCCGAGAGACAGCAATGCTTTCTGAGTCGGCTGAGGGCTTGGGAACATGGGCGGCCTGTGAACCGCATGTTTGAGGAGGCTAGACCCCGGCTTTGCCCCTTCTGCCAGAGGCCCCACCCTTCTGCCCCCCTTCCCTGCCGGAGCCCTGTGCTCCCCACCGTGGCCGGAGGAGCCCCGCCCCAGCCACCCCAAGTCCCAGCCTGCCAGCCCATCCACCCTAGCTCCAGCCCCAGCCCTCGCCAGCTTTGGGGGAGAGGTTGAGCAAGGGCAGGAAGAGGAGCAGCGTGGGCAGGGCCTCAGAGCGGAGCATGGGTGGGGCCACGCCTGGCTATTTGGGGAGGCTTAGCCTCCCTTGGCCTATGACGCCCAATGCCTGGGAAGCGCCAGAGGATTCCACTGGTGGAAGGTTCTCTAGCGGACATGGTGGCGTGGGTTCCTGCAGCGTGTCTTGCCAGTGGCAGCTATGAATTTCAAGGAAATGCAAAGCGTGCTTAGGCCATTGCTTTAGTGTACCAGCTAGGCAGTGTCTCCCGGGAAGCACCCGCCAGGCCCAGCTGTGGTGAGCAGGGCCCACAGTGCTCTGTCAACAAAAGTTCTGACTCTAGTGGCAGCAGCTCTGTGACGGGGCCAGGTGTGGGTGCTTGTACTCATTCAGGGCCTCGTATCGAGGAAGCGTAGCGCATGGCCCTTGGAAGCACTCTCCAAGGGCATGTGTCATGCACGGGTGGTTGGGGAGTGGGGAGAGCATGTGTAGGCCTTGAGAAAGGGCCTGCATTAGCCATGAGCTCACCCGCCCTCTGCGAGATGTGTGGGTTGTGCGGGCAGTTGGGCAGGAGGGGGAGAAATCTCCAGGAGGAGGCTGTGGAATGGCTGCAGCCTCGGGACAGGGCACCAGGACATGGAGCCCTCTGGTTCCCATAGCAGGCCCCAGAGCATCCTTTAGCTCAGCAGCAGAGTGAGGGTTTAAGAGGTTCTGCCAGGTTCCACCAGACCCTCCTCCCCCTCCCTCTGAACCTGTGGGGCACAGCAGCAGGAGTCCCAGCTCTCCTGTCACTTGGCCGGGCTGCTTTCCCGTCACAGTCTCTCCTGTCCCTCGCTTTATGTTTTATGAGTCCCTTCTCTGCTCTCTCCTTCTGCCCCCTGCAGGTGTGTTTGACAATTGCTCCCACGTGGCCAGCGACAAGGGCTGGGCGCTGGGCATTCGCACGCTGCAGCACCCAGGGAAGAAGGATGCCCGCTTCTTCTTCTCGCTCAGGACAGACCGGATGAGGAGAGCCACCGTGGTGTCTGGCTACCGCCGCTATCAGCTCAACACCTGGACTCACGTGGCCGCCACGTACGACGGGCAGTGGATGACGCTCTACCTGGACGGGGTGCGGGTCAGCAACAGCAACTGGCAGGCCGGCGCCCTGCATAGTCCCTTCATGGCCTCCTGCCGCAGCTTGATTCTGGGAGGGGACAGCTCCGAGGACGGGCACAACTTCCGCGGGCACCTGGCGTCACTGGCGCTCTGGAGCGTGGCTCTGCCCCAGGCCAGGCTGCAGCGTGGCTTCTTACAGAAGAGCGAGAGTGGGGAGGCTGCCATGGTGCTTGGGGCCGGCTTCGCCCACCTGGAGGAGCAGTGGGTGGCTTTCAAGGACGGGGGTTACCCGCTGCTTGAGTTCCTCCATGCGCCAGAGCCTGAGCTGCTGTCTCCACCGGCGCCCCCGGCCTGCGGGCAAACAGCCTGCGACAACGTGGAGCTGATCTCCCGCTACAATGGGCACTGGCCACTGCGCAGCGAGAAGGTGGTGCGGTATCGGGTGGTCAACGTCCACGACGACCAGGGGCTCCACCCCACTGTCAGCCGGGAGCAGGTGGCACGCCAGCACCAGGCCCTGAGCGAGGCCTTCGCCCGCTACAACATCAGCTGGCAGCTGAGCCTGCACGAGGTGCACAACTCCTCCCTGCGCCACCGCACCATCCTGGTCAACTGCGAGCCCAGCAAGATTGGCAACGACCACTGCGACCCGGAGTGCGAGCACCCATTGACTGGCTACGATGGGGGCGACTGCCGCCTGCAGGGGCGCTGCTACTCCTGGAAGAGACGGGACGGTGTCTGCCACATGGAGTGCAACAACATGCTGGACGACTTCGACGATGGGGACTGCTGCGACCCCGAGGTAGCTGACGTCCGGAGGACCTGCTTCGACCCAGACTCACCCCAACGGTAGGCAAGGGCAGGGGGAGGCTCAGGGGCAGTGTAGGCTCCCACACAGCTCTACCAGGGCACCTGTGTGCACGCAAGGCAATACCTCTGCTAGTCCAGTGCTAGGCTCCCCGTACACATGGCTCTGCTAGCGTACCTCTGTCCAGACTGCCAATACCCCCTGCTGTTCCATTCTCATGTCCACATCTTCTAGTGCACCTGAGCCGTGACCTGTTGCTCCACCATTGCAGTCCTGACACAACCCCTTCTTCCACACACTTCTCCAGAGCCAGTGCTTGCGCATGGGGGGCCTTAGCAGGAGTATCCATGCCCCCCACAATACTAAAACAGCAAATAATCAAAAGCAAATAGGGGGCCCCCTTGCGCTACTCAAGGCCCTAAGCAATCACTTAGTCTGCTTATGTCTAGCGCCGGCTTTACATCTTTCTCTCAGCATACTTTAGCCCTTATCTGTAGCCCCTGCTATTCCAGTCCTGGGCCTGTTCTGAGGGGCTCCTGCCATTTTCCAAATTCACAGTGGCTGTTCTTTCGGTGGACAGACATCCAATAGGAACTAGGAAATTCATTTCATTTTTACATAACTAGGATCTGAGACCAGGTGAGCAGAGACAAAACAAAGTTAGCATCAGGCTATAGAACTCATCTGGTTTAAAAATCTCTGAATCAGATTCACCAGTGCCCTCCAGCTATTCAGTGTCTCTGCAGTTGAGCCAAGTTCGTTGCTGCTTTGCCATGTCAGGGTGGTACCAAGAAGCCAGAGCGCACCAGTGAATCTGTCCGTTTGTGTCTGTGCGAGTAATTGTGGGATTACAGAGAGCTGGGGTGTGTACTGCAAACACTTCTCCATCAGTACCCTTTCAATGTTGTTAAAAAACCCACACATTCAATAAGCGGAACTATCTCAGTGCAAGATACAAACAAAAATAAAAGATGTGGGGGGAGGGGGATGGGATGCATAAAAAGAAGGAGCTGCAACTCGTCAGAGCTCTGCAGAAAAGCTGGGAATCACACGAATAAATTCCATAATCTGGAAACAGCTGGAGAGATCCCCCTGGAATGCCCTGTCCCATGCTGTAGGGAAGAGAGAGCCCACCTCCTGTGAATCTCAAGGGACCTCTAAGGGCAGGTTTCCCACCTGCAAACTGTACAAGGTGCCAGATTTCTTGGCTCAGCCCTAGTGCACCTCTAGCGCCATTGTAACCCTGCCTGCAATGACTCAAGAGAGTGGGTATCAACCTCAGGGCAGATGGTTCGGGACCGGGGCACAAACCCCTAATTCAGAAATAATTTAGAAAATAAGAGACACTTCTATAATAATCAATCTCTGTATGACCTTTAGGGCTAAGTACTGGGGATCTCTTGCTTATACCTAGTAAATTTGCCCCTCAGAGTCCAAGCAGCATAGGGATCCTCAATTCCTTCTGTTTGCGGGTTTTATCCCCCTCCTGCCACACGCACTGAGGTGCAATCTCAGCTGAAGGGAGGAATCCATTTGCATGACTTGTCTTCGTGGGGCGAAGGGCAGAACAACCAATGTCTTTTGTCCTTTTTAACCTCCCCCAATAGTCCATCTGGTGTCGATGGACCTTTCCTGTTGGACAGGATGGAGCACTTTCTATTGGAGACCAGCAGCTCATGCTACTTAATGTCTTGCTCCTGTCTGGGGGTTTACACAATACAACCGCTCCAATTTAACCTTACGGTTATGGGATACAGAGGTTATACCGGTGATTAATGCAGGTGGCAACGCCCCAGCATCCAATCAAGTCTAAACATTAAACACATTCTTATAATTCCAATACCCATTTTAACACCACCAACACACAGGTGAGCCAGACTGATCCCAGCTATGCATTTGTCAGTGTTTAGTTGGAGACCTGGAGACTTCGGCATGCACTGGCACCTGGTTTTGCCAGCGTCACACCCACCTTGCCTCCGGAAGGAGTCATGCAGACCACCCCCTGCATTTTCATCAGCAGAATGGGGTTTGCTCCCTCTTGTGGAAAAGGCTGTGGGGCCCACCCCCAAGCCATGCACATCCCCAGGGATCCACACAGATCCTGGGTACCCATGAGGCCAGGGCTGTCCATGCAGATGTCCCAGGGCCCCATTGCAGCTCTGTGCTCGTGGCAGCCCTCCCCCACCTCTTCCTGGCAGCCCGGCTGTTAAGTTCACCACCATCAATCACACTGTACGAGGTATCTCTTTCCAGCTGTCTCCGCGGGGCATTCGGTGCTGTGCCAGCGAGGGAGCAGTTGCCATTAATCATTACTGCGGGTTTCATTATTAATTGTTTGCCCTGAGCCAGCAGTGTGCCGAGCATGGTCTGCATTCCCAGAAAGGGGGGTGGGGGTGGGGGGCTCCTGGCCCTAAGACACCGCTCAGCCCTAGGCTGCATCACCTTCCCCAGGGCCAGGAGAAGCTGGAGTGAAGAAAAAATGAGCATTATCCCAGGAGCCAGCTCACCCAGCCTTGCCCTCTAGGCACGCCCTGCACCACTAAAGGGAGCTGTTGGGTCAGGGGGAGGCAGCTGAGCAGGAACAAGGGAGAACCATGCACAGTGTTAAGGGGCATGGTCCCCCTTTGGCCAAGCGGGCAGGGCAGCAATCCCTACCCCTCTCATGCTGCACGTGCATCACAGGATCTGCATAGAAGAGGGAGCAAACCCCATTCTGCTGATGAAAACCGGGGTGGGGATGGGTCTCCATAGCTCCTCCTGACCCCTGGACCCATGCTGAGTAGTTCCGTCCTCTGGTGAGGAGCCCTGCTGTCTTTCGTGATGACTGTTCCCACAGTGAGGAACTACCCCGTGTAAGTCAGCATATCGGAATCCATCCCCTAGCGAAGATCTCCACGGCAGGATAGCTCAAGGTTCAGATCAGAGCCAAATGCTGGCAGAGTTCTCAAAGGCATGTTTTTGCCCTGAGTTCAGCTCCCAACCAGGCTGGTGTGAGAGGAGTTAAAATTAAAAAGAAGAAGAAGGAAAAGTAGCGTTTCTGCTCTGTCTGTGTACGGCAGAACCCAGAGGGTTTGCTTAAATCTGACCTGTGGGCACATTCTGGGCCTAGCAGATCTCAGCCTGAACGGGGAAGCTTGGAGGGAGTCAGTAGCATCTTCAAACAGGGGTGTGGAGTGGGACCCATAATTCAACCTCCACTCCAGGAGTGTGGGAGGGGAGAGAGAGAGCCTGCCCCATTTCAGTACGTTGTGGGCCTGGTTCTCACTGCCCTGCCATTGCTGTTGTCAATCACAGTTGTGCAAAATAGACTTAAAATGCTACCACCATCCACACAGCACACCGCCTCTGCACGGGGTCATTGACTTTGCAAGAGGTGAGACGGTGGAGAACGCGGCCCTCCATCCTTGTATTGATACGACCTATGTTTGCAAAAGTGCCCAGTGGTTTGGGGGGTGGCTATGCTTCTTGAGGCCTGGCTGGAGACACCTGAAAGGGGATATGAATTATCTGCTCTCTGCAAATCAGGCCCCCTTTGGGTATCCTAGTTTGGGCACCCAACTCATCAAGTCGCTTTTGAACCTCTTAATTGTATCCATACGGATACTGGCACAGATGGCATCACTGGGGTCGGAGACAAGCCTGCTCATTCCAGACCAACCCCTGTGCACAGAGAGCACTAGGATTCCCTGCTAGAGGAAGGGCACTACCCACTCCCTCCCAAGAGACAGGCAGATGGTGCCGCTGTTGGAGATAGATGTGGCGTTAAGAATCCATGCAGCCTATGCCGCTGGGTGGGTGAAGGGAGGAGACAGGCACTCACACAGATCTCCTTGAGTCAACAAACAAAACCAGAGCAAAAGCAGCCTGCTTCCTTCCCAAGGTCTTTGTCAGCTGGGAGCTGAGCCCAGGGTAGTCCGGGGCCCAGAAGGGGCATGGGCTGCCCAGTTTCATTCCAGCCACCAGGCCTATGCCAAAGGTGCCTGTTGGATTGCAATTGTGAGGACATGGCATGCTTTCTTTAGTGCTTTCTTTCTTCACATCGGAGCGAACCTCCTCCTCTCTCTCTGCCTCGGCCTGGCTGGCTTTCTGTTGCATGGGGCGTTCACTGTGATGCTCCTGCAGGAGGGATGTAGCAGGTCTCAGTGGCTCTGGAGGGAGGAATCTATGTAAGCGAGTGGAACACAGTGAGTGGAAGTCGCCCGTGGCCAAGGCAAGTAGGTGAAGTAGCAGAACCTGGTGGGAAAAGGTGCAACATGGACTTCTAAGGATCTGCGACTCATCTCCCCACCAGGGGCTGGAGAGCCTGAGGCTGAGCCAGCACTGATTACGTGCTAAGCCTCACTGGGGAGGTTTTTGGTAACTGAAGATAAAGGGCAGCAAGGAGCTGCAGGGGAGGGGTGGGGGTGTGCGTGCTCAGAGGGTCAGCAAAGCTAGGGAAGCTGAGGAAACAGAAAACTGTACAGAGCTGGAATTGACACAGGACTATGTGTTTGTCTGGAATTGAGGAAGGTTTGCGTTTGGTGAGTTTTGATTTGACACCCTCAGGAGAAGGAGGAATGAAGGTGACTGGAACTCACGTGAGTTTTAAATGGGCCCTGCTGAGTGGGAGAAAGAGGTGGCCTGAGGTGTGCAGGAAGGAGAGAGGGAAGTAGAAGTGGGGGAGGACAGGCAGCGAAGGGCTGATGGGCGTGAGATGAGTGAGGGGAAGAGAGACCAGACACTGCTGGCCTTCGGTTTTCCTTCCTATGCTCCTTGAGCATTTTTTGCACTTATTTGGACGGGCTGAGGAAATACTAGGGGAAGATGGAAGAGCCGTCTGTCAAATGGTCACTCTCCCACCCTGGCTACTGTCTGAGTAATACAGCTGGAACTGTGTTAGAGCTCCCTGTCATGAGATGTTCCTCCTGCCACTGCAATCACCCAGGTGCCAATAATATTCACTGTGCCACGTCTCTAGGTCTTAACATTTTTCCAAGTGCTTTCCAAGCACTAATCCATTTGTGTGAGGCTGTGGCCACTTGGGGTCACCGAAAATCCCCAG